GTAGACATCAGACTTGGCAGAGGTTCCCGAGGAAGGCGATAGTCCGGGAAGCATGTGTGATGTAAACAGAAAACGCAGTAACAGTGGTAAGTGTGAGGTGAACATTCTCCATGATCTCTGATGTTCAAACTGAAGGCCAATGATCATTTCTGTCTTTTTTTTCAGACGTGGTTTTTCTGTCAATCATCTGCCATTCTGATATATTTGTACAAACATAATCTATGAAATTAGTCATACATGCGGTGGGTTTTCTAGTCTGCTTGAAGTGTTAGCCAAATTTTGGAGTTACCACAACTCTCCCACTAAGATTAATAGGGCTGGTTTTCCAGTCCTTGCTGAACACATGGAGCTGTCTTATAGCGGGTCTGTCGTGGTCCATATTGTCTACTCTGACTGCATTCCCAGGTCTTTTGCATCATCTACTGCCTGATACTTTTAGCTGGAGATACTGAGGATTACACCTGGGACCTTCTGCTCTACCACTGAGCCATAGTCCATCTCCTGCTGTCATCCCAAAGGTTTTTTCCCATTAAATAGTTCCTGTTTTCCTAATCGCTCTGACCTGGACAGCCCAGGCTAGCCCATTTTTGCCAGATCTTGGAAGCTAAGCAGGGTTAGCCATGGTTAGTATTTGGATAGGAGACCACCAGGGAATACCAGGGTTGCTATGTGGAGGCAGGCACTGGTAAACCACCTCTGAAAGTCTCTTTCCTTGAAAACCTTACGGGGTCATCATAAATTGGCTTCAACTTGACAGCCAAAAAAAATCTCAGGAATACATACCTCTCCTAGGAGGAGTTTCATTCTTACAGACAGAAAATCGTCTAATCAAGATAAAATGTCATCAGACCTCTGTTTACCACTTTACCTCTTCTACATTAAAAAGAACTGCTGACAATGGAATCTGCATAACTTGGCATTGTACAAGAAGCTTGCTGACAGAGTTGTGAGCACATTTGTCAAGCCTCCAAAGAAACATCAGTGAGAGCATATCAGCAGTCCTTTTGATCAACACGGGATCTCTTTACACCTGTCCTTTCAGAAGCTCAGTGTATAAATTATAAAGTAGCTACTCCAGAATTTTCCTCATTGTAGATTTAATGAGTCTGCATAGATTGTGGAAGTGGTAAAACTTTTGTTGTGTTCCCAAAGTTCCTGTGGGCCTTTGAGATGTAAACACATGAAGTCAAGTAGGTTTGAGGGAGTTGTCTGATCCAGTACAGGGTAACTGCATATATCATGAATCTCAACCCTGTGCTCACAACTGGTACAACTGGTCTTAAGAAGTTAAACAATGGTTTGTTATTGTAAAAAGAAATAATTTACATAGCATTCACAGGAAAAAAGCTGAAAACTTTGGAGGCTGGCAAAAGTCCCTTGGACTGCAAGAAGATCAAATCAGTCAATCCTAAAAGAAATCAACCCTGACTGTTCCCTGGAAGGCCAGATAATGAACATAAGAACATAAGAACATAAGAGATGCCAATGTTGGATCAGGCCAAAGGCCCATCCAGTCCAACACTCTGTATCCCACAGTGGCCAGAAATACCAGTGCCATCAGGAGGTCCACCAGTGGGGCCAGGACATTAGAAGCCCTCCCACTGTTGACCCCCCCCCCAAGCACCAAGATGACAGAGCATCACTTGCCCCAGAGTCCCTATCTATACCTTGTGGCTAATAGCCACTGATGGACCTCTGCTCCATATGCTTATCTAATTCCCTTTTGAAGCCGTCCATGCTTGTAGCCGCCACCACTTCCTGTGGCAGTGAATTCCAAGTGTTAATCACTCTTTGGGTGAAGAAGTACTTCCTTTTATCCATTCTAACCCGACCGCTCAGCAATTTCATGGAGTGCCCACGGGTTCTTGTATTGTGAGAAAGGGAGAAAAGTACCTCTTTCTCTACCTGCTCTTTCCCATGCATAATCTTATAAACCTCAATCATGTCACCCCTCAGTCGTCGTTTCTCCAAGCTAAAGAGCCCTAAGCGCCTTAACCTTTCCTCATAGGGAAAGTGTTCCAACCCTTTTATCATTCGAGTTGCCCTTTTCTGCACTTTTTCCAAAGCTATAATATCCTTTTTAAGGTGTGGTGACCAGAATTGCACACAGTATTCCAGATGAGGTCGCACCATTGATTTATATAGCGGCATTATGATATTGGCTGATCTGTTTACAATACCCTTCCTAATAATCCCCAGCATAGCATTGGCCTTCTTTATTGCAGTCACACACTGTCTCGACATTTTCAGTGAGTTATCTACTACAACTCCAAGATCTCTCTCTTGATCAGTCTCTGCCAGTTCAGACCCCATCAACGTGTATTTATATTTAGGATTTTTGGCTCCAATGTGCATCACCTTGCACTTGGCCACATTGAACCCCATTTGCCATGTTGACGCCCACTCGCCCATCTTTGACAGATCCCTTTGGAGTGCCTCACAATCCTCACTGGTTTTCACCACCCTGAACAACTTCGTATCATCCGCAAATTTAGCCACTTCACTGCTTACTCCCAACTCCAAATCATTAATGAACAAGTTAAAAAGCAGTGGACCAAGTACTGATCCCTGTGGTACCCCACTGCTTACACCCCTCCACTGGGAGAACTGCCCATTTATACTCACTCTCTGTTTTCTATTAATTAGCCAGTTTTTGATCCATAAAAGGACTTGTCCTTTTATCCCATGATTTTTGAGCTTACTTAGGAGCCTTTGATGATTAAACTGAAGCTCAAATACTTTGGCCACCAAATTAGAAGGGAGCACTCTCTGGAGAAGACCCTGATGCTGGGAAAGATTGAAGGTCAAAGAAGACGGGGATGGCAAAGAATGAGATGGTTAGACAGTGTCATAGATGCAACAAACATGAAATTGAGCAAACTTCAGAGGACGGCGGAAGACAGGAAGGCCTGGCGGGATCTGGTCCATGGGGTCGCGAAGAGTCAGACTCGACTGTGTGACTGAACAACAACAAGAAGGTTGAAAGAATAGAAAACAGAAGGTTGCAGGCATTCCTTTCCCCTATCTGGCTAGCATAATGAGCCAGACAGGGTGCTTTAAAGCTAATGTGTTTAATTTACTGGCTTTTGCATAGGCTTTTGCATGTAACTGTTTTCAAACATATGTAACTTTCAAAAGTCTGTTGAATATGAGCATCACTTCCACCTTAAACGTTTAAATCTTCCATTTATATTTCCTTTGTAAGTACTACTGAAAGTAACATCAGAACCTGAAAGACAAAGAGACACATCTAGCACAGTAGTGCTTGTTCTAATACCATCTTTCCAAAACACTCGCAAGACACTCGGTTCTCTATCACTTGAAGCCCTTTAAATGGACATACTAATGTTGAACATGGCAACTTCCACATGTAAAGGGTGTGATTTAATACTGGTTACTTGGCACTTATGAGCTGAGTTTATCACTGCAGGAACAAAGAATGCCTGAAACATGGGAGACCCGAAGTAGAAACCCCAAAGAAGGTCTTTCTAAACACACAAAAGAGTCTTATTGCATATTAGAAACTAACCCATATATTGTGCAATAAGCTTTCATGGACTTAGAGCCTGCTTCATCAGGTGCATAATATGTGTTATCACTTGGCAGATACATTGGTCTGAGGGGAAAAATATGAAGAGTGCAATTGCAAGAAAATAAATTGCAGAAGTAATGGTGGTGGAAAGCGCCTTCAGGTCACAGGCACATGGCAACCCCATGGGGTTTTCAAGGCAAGAGATGTTCAGAGGTGGTTTGTCATGGCCTGCCTCCATGTAACTTCCTGCTTTCTTTGGTGGTCTCCCATTCAAATACTAGCCGGGGCTGACCCTGCTTAGCTTCTGAGATCTGATGAGATCAGCCTAGCCAGGGCTATCCAGGTCAGGGCACTGCAGAAGCACTTGCCTTCCATTTCCTTTTCTGAACCCCATTGTTTGGCATAAAAAGTTAAATATTGTAATGTTCAGCAATTTAATGACCTAAGTGATGGCTGTGAGACTCCAGAACTATGTTTTATGTCTTCATGGAGGAGAAAGTCAAATGCTCTCTTTATTTTAGCTAAGAGAGTAGCAAGCTGCTGTGCCAAAATTTCAAACCACATGGGGAGATGTTAATTCGCAGGGTGGCCCTCAAACCATCATGCCCTGGGATGTGGCAGTAGCTCTGTAGTCGGAAGGCTGCTTCACAATCAGATTCCTTGAGGATTTGATAAAAAGTGTTGAGGTATTTGTTTTTTGTAGGATTCCAGCAAATGGCTGCAAGTTGCAAAGCCAAAAGCTGGCAAGATGCCTGACCTAATGTAAGAGTTATTGTGGTGTAGTGGTTAGGAAATTGGACTAAAACCTGGGAGATCCCCACTTTGCCATGGAATTTTGCTTGGTGACCTTGGACCAATCTTTGTATACTGTCAGCATAACCTACCTCACACAGCTGTTGTTGTAAGGGTAAGATTAGGGGTGTGCAAAAAAAGGGGGGGTTTACGATTCGGGTCTATTGGACCTGAAAAATATCAGTATTCCCAAACATTCCTGAATACCAGTATCAGTTTTGTATTGGGATTTGGGGAAATACTCGGGAAAACCTGGATTTATTCAGCTCCATTATACCCTATGGGGACTGTCCTCATAGGATATAATGGAGAAGGGATTTAAACTTTAAATTCTTGCAGAGTCCACTTTCCAAGACACACCGCCTCAGAAGGCATTAAAAGAGACACCAAATAATATTGGCTTTTATTCGGGCACAGCTATTGGTAGCCAAATACAGATTTCTAATCTGTATTCAGCTGAATAAATACCCAGAAAATACCTTATTGGTATTTTCCAGGTATTTATTCAGCTCGGTATATACTTATCACATACCCCTAGATAAAATGGAGGAGAGGAGAACAATGTAAGCTTCTTTAGGTCCCCATTGGAAAGAAAAGCAGGGTATAAGTGAAGTCAGAAAATCATTTTTTGTTGTCCAGTGATAGCACTTTAATAGTAATGGTGCCAGTGTTGTGCCATGACTGTCTCCATACTATGTGTTCAGTACTGAGGCTGCCGAGGCATACTTTCAAAGCTACAGAAGTTCCACTCCCAACCTTAGGCTGAAGACTGTGTTTTGCCTGGGTGGCGGAGGGGGAAGGAGCAGGAGGACACTGGGCAATTGTGACTGCTTTCTGTGGCCCTGCTCCCTTTGGACCACTGCATGGCAAAAGGTGGTAGACTTGAAGGCAAGCAGCTCTGATGTGGTCTGCACTGGACATTTAAAAAGAGGGGGGAGCAGGCAGGCTGGGTATTCAGAGCCGTCTGCCAGAAAGAACCGCTTTCCCACTCCATCTTTTTAATATTTAAATTCTGATGTCGCTAGTCCTCTCTGCTATGCCTGCAAGTACAGGGTGTGTAGAGGTGGCCTCACTGACCACACCTCCAAGAAGTCAGGACAGGCTGGAAACAGTGGCTCTTCCTTTAGTTATCCCCAGCAGGCAGGTTGGGGAGGGGCTCGCTTTCAGCAGTCAGGCTGTGAGCCAAGGAACCGATAATCATTCAACTACACATCAGCCTCCGCTGCTCTACCTTGATCTACTTGCCCTACCTTGCTGCATCGTTCATACTGTCCCATCTGGTATGGTGTTGGCTTTTGCCTACTACCCAGAACTGGTCCATCATGGGTGCACTTATATGCAGTAATTTCTGGGAGCAATCCCCAAGTATGCCAGATCGCCATCTGGTATTGTATGTATTATTATAGTTTTTATTGTTTTGTCAAACAGTGTTGATTGTTTAATTGTGGATTGTTTTACTTCTTGTTGTAACCTGCCCTGAGCCCTGCAGTGCAGGGGAGGGCAGGATAAAAGTCCAATAAATACATAAATAATAAAGCGGTAGCCTGATTTTTCCCAGTCTGCTGTGTCTGTGTTGTCCTTCTCTCCCTCTCCTCCTGGCTGGTCCCCGTTCCAGGCACAATAATGACTGTCATTATTGCTTCGACAGGCGATGAGTTCATCCAGAGTTACAAAGGGGTAGCGGAAGTGTTTCCCACCAGTAGCACAGTATGCCAGGGCCTTTGATTATGGAATTATTTCCATACGCAGCAAAGTTGATTCTATTAATAATTTTGATGCTATGAACTGATGCTGCGGTTTGTTGCCATGTCAACACCCTGAACCAAGGTTTTAGAATGGCATACCAATGGTTGAGATGTATCACTGGATGTAGTTACACAGAAATCTGGTTGACTGTAAATCCTGATCGTCACCAATCTTGTGGATCTCTGAAACGCAAAGATATACTGTTAAGTGTATCTGGAAGATGTGTGTTATTTGAGAAATGGGGAAATATATGCGATGAGCTGAACTTTTTGACACAAAATATTTAATCCTTTCTTTCCCCCTTCATCCACAACTTTCTATCACGCCGTACATACATCAAAGAAGAAATAGCAAATTCAAATTTGTAAAGGAATCTTTGCCAAAACACCAATACGATTTGTGCTGACAGTCCTCTACTTAAGATCTCCTGAGGATGATATGGGGCACACCTTAACTGTTTCATCCACAGAAAGTTCTGCTTGGTGTTGGTAAAAGTCTCCAAATCTCTTCAGAATGAGACAGAAAGTAGGGTTGCTAGCCCCAGGGCCGGCTCAAGGTGTTTCTGCACCCTAGGTGAGGCTGCCTTGTGGCGCAGATGCCAACCTCCCGGTGGGGCCTGGAGACCTGGAGCCCTCTGGAGCCAGCCACCCTTTTGCTGCCGCCACCACTGCCTCCCCCCCTGCCACCACCAAAGGGGGGAGGGGGGAGGCACAGCTTGGCGTCCCATCCAGGGCCTGGCGCTCTAGGCGAATGCCTAGTTCGCCTAGTGGGTGAGCCGGCCCTGGCTAGCCCCCAGCTGGGGCCCGTAGATCTCCTGGAATAAGTTATCTCCAGACGACAGAGATCAGTTCCTCTGAAGGAACGGGCTCCGGTGGAGGATGAACTCGTTGGGGAGGGCAGGGAATAAACCTAATTAAATAAGTAGATAAACTCTCTGGCATTATACCCTGCTGAGGTCCTTCCCCTCTCCAAACCCCGCCCCCTGCAGGTTTCACCCCCAAATCTCCATGGATCTCCTAACATGGAGTTAGCAACCCTAAGTGAAAGTGAGAAATTAATATGACGCCATTGGAATAAGCAAATACACCATGCATCTGACTGGCTTGAGCAACTGGATTAACAATAATAATAATGTTTCTTGTCTCTCTGATTACAGTATTTACATACTCAGTAAACGGTACAACAGATTTCGGAGATGAAGCGAAGAACATAAACTCCCTTGTACAGGTGACTTTTTAATAAGACAGTAAATAGTGCATATTGTATTGAAGAGGTTTGTCTTTACGCCTACCTGCCTAGTATCCTGCCTAATGTCCTGCCCACCCACTAAGGCTCTTGGGACATTATATGTGGATCTCAGGGTTAGCCAGCATGGCGTAGTGGTTAAGAGTGGCAGACTCTAATCTGGAGAACCGGGTTTGATTCCTCAGTCCTCCTCCACACGAAGCCTGCTGGGTGACCTTGGGTTCTCTCCGAACTCCCTCAGCCCCACCTACCTCACAGCATGTCTGTTGTGGGGAGAGGAAGGGAAGGTGGTTGTAAACTGCTTTAAGACTCCTCGGGGTAGATAAAAGTGGGGTATAAAAACCAGTTCTTCTTCTTCTTCCTTCCTCATTTTATCCTCACAGTCAGGGGTCGTTTCGTAGAAAAAGAGCTAGGGGGACTCATTAGCATAACTCATTAGCACATGCCACACCCCCTGACATCACCGGAAGTGTGTCATAAGGCCACACACCCCGACCCCAACGGTCCCGGCCGCCGCTGCCGGCCTTCCAGCTCCACTGCCGAGCCCCATGAGGGGCCCGGCAGTGGACCTGCAAGGCCGACGGGAGTGCAAGGAAGCCCCGCGAAGGCCCTCCCTGACCCCAGGCAGGCAGGGGTGGGGAGAGGCAGGGAGGAAGCAACTTACCCTCCCTCTTCTCCTGCCTCCTCCTGGCTGAATGAGGGCCGGAAGCGGGGCAGCCAGAAGCAGGGGGGGGCGGCTTCGTCATGTGCCCCCCCCGTCCCTCACCCGGGAGAACTGCGATCCCCCCCGAAATGACCTCTGCTCACAGTAACCTTGTGTGGTAGGTGAGGCTCAGAGAGAACCCCTGGGCTGAGGACAGCAGGCGTCATTGCAAAATGGGGATTTGAGCACTGCTCTGTCTGTCTCAGGGGAATGATGTTCCAAAGGGTGTCAGGAGTGTCACTTCTAGAGGGCCCCAGCAGCAGGGGAGTTGGATCTAGTGAATTCACCCTGCCGTCTTCTCAGAAATCAAGCAATATTGCTTGGGAAGGGAGTGGGAGAATATCTATTGGGATTCTCTCTCTTTCTCTCTGTCTCTTTTAGTTTTCCTACTTGGAAAAATCAAAAGGTTTTCAAGGCCAAGGCAATGGGGGTATGCATATTATGAGTGGTGGATGGGGGAGACTTGTGTGATTAGCCATGTCCACACAATTCCTGTGTTCATACAAACTGTTGGGCTGCTTGTGATTACATCATGGAGAAGCAACTTCCATACAGGTCTGGTTGCATGACAATGAGGGTCTGATTTGTGGTATAAAAAGGGGGGGTTGAACAGATTTCAGAGTGTGGGCTCCATGGCCGTAATCTGGAGAGCTGGTGCCCCATTCAGTTTCAATAATGGTCTTCAAAGACGCTTAAGTAGCAGAAGTCACCAACTGTATTATAAAACCAAAAACTCGGCCCAGTTCCAGCCCAACCTAGCTTTTGTTCCTCGTCCTTATTGACCAAACCAAAATCCCTCATTCCTCAAATTTTGTTCCCCATTCTTCTATAAACAAGAATTATGCAGCGCCCCACCTGCATAATTTGAAATCTGTCTTTGTCTTCGGTTTTACCATACTGAAAACACTGCGTTTACAAAAGTAATCTATACAAAGATTTATTTTTCTTTGTTCTGAAGGGATCTCTTAGTAAAGACACATTGCAGATGAATGCCTACGTTGCCTTGTACAAATTTGTCCCACAAGAAAATGAAGATTTGGAAATGAGGTAAAGTTATTGCGTGTTCGAGCTGTATTTCACAGATCTGACCTGTGAATTCATGGAATTGTGGGTAGCAGTTGGGGATCTCTGTGATGATCAGGATCAGGTATATGAATTAATGCACAGACTGTCTTAGATTCAGAGGTCACTCCAGGTATTATAGTTCCAGTGTACCAGAATCTAGAGTTGTTCTAGATCAGCGGTTCCGAGCAGCTGCTCTTCAGGGCCCCTCTCTCCTTTCTTTTTCTCAGGCTCTTTGGTCTGAATAAAGTTATACTTTGTTTGTCTGAAATGACCCTCCTGAGTGACTGCATCATATAAATTGCAAGACTTGGGTATGGAACTGACACACAGTTTGGTGTAGTGGTTAAGTGCACGGACTCTAATCTGGGAGAACCGGGTTTGATTCCCCACTTCTCCACTTCCACCTGCTGATGTGACCTTGGGTCAGTCACAAGCTCTGGCACAGCTGTTCTTGAAAAAGAGCAGTTTCTGTCAGAGCTCTCAGCCTCACCTACCTCACAGGGTGCCTGCTGTGGGGAAGGGAAGGGAAAGGAGTTTGTAAGCCGCTCTGAGACTCCTTTGGGTAGTGAAGGGCAGGGTATAAATCCAATCTCTTCTTCTTCTTCTTCTAGTATGTGTCATAAATAGAATGGGCAAGGTTTGCATAAAAGTTAACATTTAAATAAGGAAATTTGTTCTATGAAAATCCACAAAAAATTGTCTCCAACATGTCATTATTATCACACTCCTTGTTAACTGGATGTATGTTTCATGAATGCCTTCAGGAAAGCCCATTTTTTCTTATATGGCTGAATACGCACAGGGTAAGCTAGGCATTACACACATAATAGCCCCATGATCCCTTTTAACCTCAGTAGGGGTCATTGGGATAAGACAAGCAGTGTGTGGTAGGACATAAGGTTTCAGACATGTTTTCCCACTTCTCTTCTCTCACCCCTGTTCCCCCACAACTTCTCCATTCCCAATCTCCTGCTCCTAAAGCATCTTTTACTATTTTAAAAAAGGGCCATTTCATCACATGGTTTCCTGTATTATATGTAGTCTGTCTTAAAGATGGGTGAAATCTTTGAGCCGATATCTAAAGCCAACAGGTGAATCACCCTGACAGCTACCGAGCATCACACTGCTGAAGCACGATTTGCCTCCTCCACCAAGTGCCTCATCCTACCATTTAACCACTCCTGTTGTCTCATCTGCCACCTCCTGACCAGCTGGAGAAAGGGAAGATGAGAGCTGAAAGTCTGTGCTAGCCCAATAGCCACCTACATGCTTTCTACTGTCTTATATAAGGACTTTGGCCTGGAGGGGCAGATGGCAAGATAGGGACTACAAGTTGTCCCCTGAACGGAGAGTAACTGCATGAAGTTCTTCACTTCTGGCTTCAAGTACCAGTTATTGAGTCTGTTCCCATTGATGGACAAGATTCTGTTCCAGTAGGGGCGGTCGTAGCCAATGGGGGCAGCTGCCCTGAGCACCACACATGGGGAGTGGGGAAACCACCCACCTGAAAGAAGGGGAAAAGAAGGAGAAGAGCAGGCTCCTGCCACCACTTACACCTGTCCCATCTAGGACCTGGGCAGCAGGTGTCAGGTTCAGCAGCAAGTAAATCTCCACACACGTTTCCAAGGAAGCGTTATGCTTTATTAGATTACAAAACTGGTACCATATCCACAGGATCCACAGGAGCTCCTGCTCATCTCAGATAGGGTAAGACCAACCCCTTGCTTGGCCCCAGTCTGGGGGGTGGCAGAGGGTTGGCAATGATTCTGGGGGCTTATCCTGGACTTTTGCCCAGAGCCCCAGAATCTGTAAAACTGTCCCATCTTCTTCCATTGGTTTCAAAATGAATTTTAGCTGGAATGAGGCCGATGGGTTGGCTGAAACTTAGAAATAACCTGGTGCCTCTTGGGCAGCGGTTCTCAACCTGTGGGTCGCGACCCCTTTGGGGGTCGAACGACCCTTTCACAGGGGTCGCCTAAGACCATCGGAAAACACAAATTTTCGATGGTCTTATTGTTTTTGTGATTAATCACTATGCTTTAATTATGTTCAATTTGTAACAATGAAAATACATCCTGCATATCAGATATTTACATTACGACTCATCACAGTAGCAAAATTACAGTTATGAAGCAGCAACGAAAATAATTTTATGGTCGGGGGTCACCACAACATGAGGAACTGTATTAAAGGGTCGCGGCATTAGGAAGGTTGAGAACCACTGCTCTAGGGGCCTTCTAGCAGACTGAAGATGTTGTGGGATGCTGTGGTGCCATGACACATAACCTCAAAATTCTCAATAATTATGTTTCCTTATTACAGACCAGGAGATAGGATTACACTTCTGGAGGACTCAAATGAAGACTGGTGGAAGGTACAATCAAAATAATCTAAGCTGTATTCAAAGAACAAATAAAACCCCCAACCCCTCAATAGTATAGTACAAATTTTTAACGCTGGATGAATCCATGCGCAACCGTTTACAGTCTGATCATGTGCTTCACTGCACCGGAGCATAGTTTGAGTGCTGTGCTCGTAGCTCTGGTGCAGGAGGGTACTTTGTTCCTTTGTAGCTCACCTTGTAGGATGATGGCAGGCATTAGTGATACTTCCCAGCACTCTAATGAAGCCCTTACGAGGCACAGCACCCACAATGAACAGTCTTCCCCAGAGGGGAGGGGGCAGGGTGACCAGCAGGATTTCCTTTGACTCACACCCTATTGGAGTGGCCACATCTCCTTCGCATCTGCACAGTGCTGTGCCATCATCTTATTGCAGCTAATCAAGGGCTCTTATCTGCCCTTTAAGGGTAGGGTATGGCTTGAATGCGGCCACTCAGGCCAGGGGATACAAGCCATTAGGTTAGGAGGTGGGTGTGCACAGTCTCATTCAACCTCTGTACACTAGAGATTAGATCGATAGACAGACAGACATAAAAGGCTATGTGTGTATTAAGTAATGTTCACATTATGTCTGTCGTATGTATTCTCCACAGGGCAAAATAGAAGACCGGATTGGCTTTTTTCCTGCAAATTTTGTACAAAGAGTACAGCAAGGCGAAAAGGTCTACAGGTGTATCCGAACATTTATTGGATGCAAAGAGCAGGGACAGATGACCTTGAAAGAGAACCAAGTGAGTTACCTTGAAATGTTGAGGACTTACCACCACCTTTCTTATGCAACTGGTGCTGTGTTGTTGTTGTTTTGTAATCCAGTGTTTTTCCCCTCTTCTCCACTTCATCCGCACAATAACCTGTGACGTAGGTCATGCTGAGAGAGGATGGGTAGCCCAAGGTCAGTCAGCGAGTTTCATGGTTTACTGAGGATTTGAACCTGAGTTTACCAGATCCTAGTATACTTTATCCACTATATCACATTGTCTCTCAATTCCATTAAAGCCCATGGTATGTGTTTAGGTTTGGGATTTAAGGCTGTAGAGCCCAACACACATATAGGATCCTACAGAAAATTTCCTCCAATGGAAGGGGGGGTGATTTTTACTGCTTTTCTCCACCCACTGCAGGCCTCTGGCTCCCCATTCATGTTGTTCCTGAGGAGCCCTATTCCCCAAGAGCAAAAGTTTGGGGATCCTCTTGGTCCACAGCAGGAGACAAAGGAGAGGGTGGAAATTTCCACTGGTAGAAATTTACCACAGGGCGGAGGCTGAGAAATCCGCGGGATTTGAGGTGAATTCACACAGTGATCAAAGACGGTAACATCACAATGACTTGGGGAACAGCTGTTAAGAGCCAGTTTGGTGTAGTGGTTAAAGAGTGCAGGACTCTAATCTGGGAGAACCAGGTTTGATTCCCCACTCGTTCACATGCAGCTGCTAGTGTGGCCTTGGGTCAGTCATAAGTTCTTTCAGAGCTGTTCTCTCAAGGGCAGTTCTTGAGAGAGCTCTCTCAGCCCCACCTACCTCAAAGGGTGTCTGTTGTGAGGAGGGGAAGGGAAAGTCGCTGCTGCGACTCCTTCAAATAGTGAAGGGCGGGGTATAAATCCAATCTCCTCCTCCTCCTCCTCCTCCTATTCTTCTTCATGTAACTCCACAAAGAGAGTGTTTGTTCATCCAGGGCACAGCTGTTCCCATGAGAGGCACTTGTGTCATTGATCCTCCTAATGCATGTGGACTTAGCCCTTCATTCCAAGAAAAAGGAGCTGAGATTGGGGCATAATTGATATGAAAACGATTACTATTACAAATTATACGAGTCTGGTTTTTGTCATTTCTCACCAGCCTGTAGCTGATGCTAGGCAGTGAAACCTATTAAGACAAAGCCAGCCCATAATAAGGCTAGACTTGCTCATTGTCTCACTTAATTAGAAGAGCTGAAGAAGACAGCCGCTGTCCTTTCTTGCCAGTGCCTTCATTTGCTGTTCATTGGGGCAAGAAAAAATGATGTCCCTGTTTTCTTACAGCTGCATAAAAACACAGGTTAAGAGAGGGCAGCAGTTTATTTATTTATTTATTTATTTATTTATACTTTCAATTTCTATACCGCTCAATCCCGGAGGCTCTGAGCGGTTTACAAGCATTTTACATTCCTAACTAGGTTATACGTTGGATCAGTTAGGTGGAGACAAGTGGAAAGAGAGAGGCTCTGCCCCAGCAGTGGGATAGGGAGAGGGAATTCAGTCACAGGAAAAGTAGGCTTGGCCCTGCTTAAGAAGAAGAAGAGAAGAATAGATTGGATTTATACCCCGCCCTTCACTACCCAAAGGAGTCTCAGAGTGGCTTACAATCCCTTTCCCTTCCCCTCCCCACAACAGACACCCTGTGAGGTAGGCGGGGCTGAGAGAGCTCTGAGAGAAATGTTCTTTCAAGAACAGCTCTGAACAGAACTTTTGACTGACCCAAAGTCACACCAGCAGCTGCATGTGGAGGAGTGGGGAATCAAACCCGGTTCTCCCAGATTAGAGTCCGTGCTCCTAACCGCTACACCAAACTCTCTTAATTGCACAGGGTGCCAACTTGCTGGCATGGCCTGGAGTACTCCTGGGATTACAATTGATATCGAGGCTACAGGGGTCCCTCGGAGAAAATGGCTGCTTTGGAGAGTGGATCCCGTGGCATTGTACCTCACTGAGGTCCCTCCCTTCCCCAGGCGCCACCCTTGCCAGGCTCTGCAGCCCAGTCTCCATGAATTTCCCAGCCTAGAGTTGGCAACCCTGTGGCAGAACAGAGATGTAGAGAACTGTGGGATCCACGTCATGAACTAACACATGATGGATTGACACACATGGAAGCTGCCACCTCAGTGCAGCATCCACATTCATGTGACGAGGACCCTGGCTAGCCAGCCTGTTTAGGTGACCAGTGTACCAGAGCATGCTGTGTCTACATAAATTAACACGCATTCTTGCCACAAACCCTCTCTTGTGAGCCAAACGTACTGACAGAAGAGCTCACTCGAATGTTTGCTCCTCTCCAAAAGCCCAAAAGCGGATTCCTCAGTGCTTGAAAGAGTGCAGAATGTGGCAAACAGAAATCTGTCCTGCCAATTTTTACACAAAGTCCCTCAGCACATTAACGAGGGGGAGTTACAGACACACAGCAAGATGGGGATATACAAATCGTAAAAGTGGCCGGCACAGAAGATGAGGAAGTTTTTATGCCTGGCATTATATCAACAGCAGTAACGCATAACACAATTCAGTCAGGGCAGAGATATTTTTAGTTCTCTTAAGTACGCCGGGTAGCTTTGCCCAGACCGTGAGGCAATTTGTGTTTATATGGCTTTGTACCCTTCGGCTTTCAAGTTGATATAAACCTTGGTAACGACGCTTGGGCCTGAGAGAAAAGGAAAATGGCGCAGGAGGGGGCAGGGAGCCATGGCCCAGCAGACCGTCTTTAAAAGATTGTTATGAATACTTGACTCTCCAGCCTCTACAAATACCGCCGCAGCAAATAGGGACTGGTTCTGGATTAAATCCCAATGATGTCATGCTGAGCATGTGGTGCCTGGAGGATATCGATAAGGGCTCAATCACAGGGATTTCTTAGAGAAAAGGAGACACAGGCAGAATCAGAAAGGAGCGCAGAGAAACCCGATGGGCTGTGGGAACTTCCCTCCTCTCCTTTCTGACCCTTTCAATAAACCCTTCCATCAGGGCCGGTGCCAGTTGTTGTTTTTTTGCGCACTAGACAAGGCTACCTTCTGCCCCCCCCCCCCCCCGGGCTCCCCGGACCAAAGCAGTCCAGTGGCACCTTTAAGACCATGTTTTATTCAGGTACAAGCTCTCCCACTTATTTCTTTCTTCTTCTTTTTTTAACTGTGAGAACATGGATCCATGCTAAGGATGCCTCATGGCTCAACCACTGTAATGAGTCTGCCATGAAAGACAACTTGGAAACTCCCGTTAGTACAGAACACCCAGTCCAGCTACCATCAGGTGGTAAGGAGCATCTGCGTATCATGCTCCCTCGTCGGACGCACCATTGGTTACAGATCAGTTACCAAGTGCCTTTCAAGGGGCTTGGAGTCCAACACATGAAACCAGCAACGGAGGAGGAGGAGGAGTCTCTTTCCTGCTGCCGCCTTCCACCCCACCACTGGGCTTCAGAGGTCGTCTGCCTCTGCAGGTGGAGGCTCCTCCAAGTCACCCTGGCCAGTAGCCACCAAGCAGCCTCTCCTCCCTGGGTCTCTCTCAGGTCCTTCGAAAGCTGTCTGTGCTCTTGGCTGGCACCGTCTCCACTGGCAAGGGATCCCACAGTGTCACTGCTCCTAGAGTAAAGTGGCATTTCCTTTTGTCTGCTCAGCATTGCTTGCCCGTCAGCTTCACTGGGTGCCCTCCTATTCTAGCTCTCCCTCGGGGAGGAATGGGAAAGGTCTCTCCCTCTCTGTGTCTTGACAGGATGCACACTCTGTGGGTGAGGCCAGGGCCCCAACCCCACCCCTTGCAGGGCTCCCTGGAAGGAGACACTAGGCCCCCCCCCAACCCCACCAAGAGCCAGGCGTTGGGCCCTGGGAAGGAGACCCGAGGTCTGCCCCAGCCCCCAGCAGAGGGTGCTGCTCCCTCCCGCCCTCCCTGGTTCACGTGGTCTCATTTCATGCTGGCTTCTTCATTTGGTTTCCTATCAGTCATGAGAGCGCTCCTTCGCATGCCAAGCCAGCGGCGCCAAAGCAAAAGACCTTGGGGGCAGCGGGAGCAGCAAAAGGAAAGCAAGAGTGCGAAAAGGCCAGAAAAGTAGAGAAATCCCCACAGGCGCAGCCAGCCTTTAGACTGTTCAAGGGGCAGGGGCTGCCACCCCAGGCAAGTTCTCTGGCGCCTGGGCCCGCAGGGGCCTGCAGTCAGCCGGGAAGCAGCTGGATGGGGGGGGAATCTATTCACCCTCCTCCCATGCCAAAAGAGTCTCACGTCGCCCGTCTTCTGTGCACTCGGCCCCATTTTACACAGAGCTCTTGCCTGCCTCCCTGGTTCCCATCAAGGAACTTCTAGACGGCTTCCCAGGGATTTCCCTCCCTCTCAGATTCTCCAGACCAGAGCGCCTGCCCCCCTGCCCCAGCCCTGCTCCAGCTCGGTGGAGGTGCGAAGGAGCTGTGGTGCTTGGCCGAATCCCTTGCACACGCCTTTCCTCCTGCAGCGCAATTGAAGATGCCTCCCCGGCTGGGAGGGCTTCCTCGGGGGTGTGAACACCAGAAATCTTCAGCACCGGCTCTCCCAAGGACTGTTGCCTTCCTTTTTCATTGGATGTGTTTCTTTTAAGAGCAGCCTTTAGTCCTCACAGGGGCGGGGCAGGGGGGGTCCATGGGCAGGCCAGGCTCCTCGTGAAGGTGGTGCTTTAACTGCCTAACTCACATATATGGACGCACCGGCCCTGCCTGCCATATTCCCTTTCCGAAGGTGTATTGGTTATGTTCCACTCTATGAGGAGAGTTCAGCTGAGAGACGCTGGCTGGTCTAGAGACTCCTAGTAAACTTCATGGTCTGACCCTGGATTTCTAGCATTCTAGCCAGACGCCGAATCACAAACGTGGCTTAGTGGCACCTATGGAAATACACTTAAATAAGTTGCACACAGCTCATACCCTGCTTGTCTCCCCAATGAGACCCAAGGCAGTCTACCACATTAGCTCCATTTTACCCTCACAGCAACACCACTTTGGAGTAGGTTAGGCTGAGGGAGAGTGACCGGCCCCCCCGTGAGTCTCCGTGGCAGCATGGGGATTTGAACCTGGGTCTCCCAAATCCTAGCCTGACACTCTAACCACTGTGCAATGCTGGCTCACAACTGGGGCCTTTTCAGTTTCTCTGAAACATTTTTACTTTCCCCCCCCTTACATTGTGTGAAATCAGGATAACTCCCAAAAGGCTCAGCAGCTTGCGGACCTTTTGCCTCGAAATACAATTAATGGAATTTAATAGGACAGGCTTTGTTTCTTACAACTCCTCTGGGGTCCTCCGGCCTCACAGATCTTGCTGTAGCCCGAGCTCAGCTTATGGCAGACTCATCGACCGAATATGTGAGGAATGCGCAGAAGGAAAGCACAGAGCTTCCCCTCAGGAAGCAGAAGTGGCCTTCTTGTCAAGCTTTGCCTGGAGACAGACGACTGAGTGTTGAAGTGGAACGATAGGGGCTTCTATCGTTGCCTGCGGCATGTCTGCACATCCCCATTGTCGTTTCTGGTCATGGGTCCTCCGAGGCAGGAGATAAACAACAGGGCTTTTCTTCGGAGGCAGTTGAAAGGGTGGCCTCGTCGCCAGTGGGGCAGGGAGACGTTTCTTCCGTCACGTTGCCTCCTTTGCAACAACAGGGTTCGCGTATTTTTGGAAGCAACACGAAAAACATGTGTGCTGTGGTTGCCAGAGACAACAGTGGATGGACTGTGCCCCTCTCCCCCTGCCGTGAGCAGCAATTCCAATTTCATATCCTTTTCTGCTTCCCTTTATATATCAATTTATACGCAAGCCAGTTTGTCCAGAAATAATGACTGGGCAGAATAAATGAGAGCGTACAGGATGGGTAACGACGCCTCTGCTCCTTTTAAAGACTGCTGTCCGCCTCTAGCCTTGCAGTAGTTTAGCTCTTATTTAAAAATTCACTGGACCATCCTAAGCAGAGCTGCGCCCTTCTAAAAGCCCGTTGACTTCAGTGGATTTTGAAGGGTGCAGCTCTGCTTAAAGATGACACTGCAAATGACCATCTTCCATGAGAGATGTATCATTGAACACACATGATGAAGCTGCCTTGTACTGAATCAGACCCTCGGTCCATCAAGGATAGTGTCGTCTACTCAGACTGGCAGCAGCTTTCCAGGGTTTCAGCCACTTACTGCCTGGTCCTTTTAACTGGAGTTGCCGGGGATTGAACCTGGGACCTTCTGCATGCCAAGCTGAGGCTCTACCAATGAGCCATGGCCCCTCCCTGATCTCCTGATGTTTAGCTTTTGGGAGAGCCTGGACTGCGTCAAGGGCCATGGGGCTGGGGGCTCTTAAGTTGTTTTTGTTGGGAAACATGGGGGAGGAACTGGAGAAGGTCCTGCAAGCTAGCAGCAGCTGAGTAACATCTCACAAATTTGTTCTCCTCTCTGTACAGAGGAGTTTAAGGGCTGGGTGTACCCAGAAGCACAAACCAGAAGTACCCAGAAGGCCTCCTCTCCCTTTCTTGTTTGTTGCTGTTGTTTCTCTGTGCATTGTTAGCCGTTTTGGTTCCCTGTTGGGGAGAAAGCAGAATACAAATTTACTAAATAAATCCAGGGCTATTTTTGGGCAGGAACGCACAGGAACGGAGTTCCGGCTGGCTCCCAAGTTGGCCACGCCCAGCAGGAACTCATTAGCATAATAGGCCACACCCAACAGCAAAACTCATTAGCATAATAGGCCACACCCAACAGCAAAACTCATTAGCATAATAGGCCACACCCAACAGCAGGAACTCATTAGCCCATTAGGCCACACCCCCATGTTACCAGAAGTGTGGTCATCCAGCCACACCCACCTTTTGCTTCTTATTCTGTTTACCTTGTTTGTTGTCAAAACCCAGGGCTTTTTTTGGAGCAGGAACTCCTTTGCATGTTAGGCCACACACCCCTAATGTAGCCAATCCTAATGAGTTTCTGCTGTTGGGTGTGGCCTATTATGCTAATGAGTTCCTGCTGGGCTTTTTCTACAAAAAGAGCCCTGATAATGGGCGTGTCCGTTTAGAGTCTCTGTGCCTGTGTCATTCTTCCAACCTATCAATTTTTATTCCAAGGATAAAAAAGGCTCATGGTCTCCCCCCCTCCCCCATATCTTCATAACAAACTTCTGGGGCAGATCAGGCTGAGACAGAGAGAGACGGGCACAAGATCAACCAGTGATCTTTGTGGCTGAGTAGGGGTGTGAACTTTAGTTTCCCAGCTCATAGTCTGTGACCTCCTAACCTCTACACCACACCACTTCTCATAACCTACAAGCCAAGAGATCTAGTCTGTATTGCCCTGAATCCAGGAGAGCCTGGCCTATCAGGCTGTTTCCAGGGAAAGCCCTGATGAAATTCATGGGTTTTGCATGTGAGAGTTTTTCCCCATTTTCATTGTACTTTTACAGGCACGGTCCACCAAGCATCCATATAATTTACTCATTATGCTTTTGGACTCTTATCTTCCTACTTAGCCCGAACTAGCAAGGTTCAAATCACTGCTCTGCCACTGGGTGACCTTGGTCCAGTCACCATCTCTCAGCCTAGCTTACCTCACAGGGTTCTTATTATGAAGATAAAATGGAAGTGGGGAAAATGTTGCTGTAAGCTGTTTTGGGTCCCTACTGGGGAGAAAAGAGGGGTGGGAATATCTAAAGAAATGAATAGAATTTTCCTTCATGTTGGTAGAGCTTATACAGAGGTATCCAAAGGACTGTGTCCATGAAAGGATGGATGGATGGATGGATGGATGGATGGATGGATGGATGGATGGAT